CTGAGTGACGTGAAGCAAGCGCCGGGTCCCTTGATGGGGTGGGGGGGCAAGACTATGGGTGTGGATGTGTTGGGACTCCCCCAGGTCGCTCCTGCTGATCAGGACTGAGGCCAGGGATTGGGACGTGCTGCCTTTGGTCGTTAAGTGACAATAGTGCCCCGGGGGTCCTTAGCGGCTGGGCAGGCTGCACGGGGCTCCTTGGGGAATGGGTGGGCCATCCCGTCTGCCTTGTTAAAATAATAATAATAATCCTGACATTGGGGGGTCCCCTATATTGAACACTTGCTCTGGGCCAGGGAAGGTAGACACCACCATGCTGTGTCTTGCGGAGTGGACATTCTCGATAAAAAAGCTATCGCCAGGGAGGAACGAGTGCTGGGAAGACTATCAGACCAAAGGGTGAGCTTCTCCTGACATTCCAGTCCCACGTGGCCAGGCTTTGGGCGAGGTTCATTGGAACTGTGTACCCTTGGGGTGCATGTCCAGCCCCAAGAATCGTGAAGAGATCATTTCAAGATTGTGGAACTTAGGCCCTGTTTGGACTGGGTACCTCCTCGATGCCAGCAAACCCTGCCTTGGGGTGTGAGCGGGGAAGGCACATGCATAAACCTGATCATAAGTGTCAAATGACCAAAAGGACAGTGGCTGCGGTGTTTTCTCATCTATAAAACGAGGATACTCGGGGCGCCTGGGTGGCTCAGTCGTTAAGCGTCTGCCTTCGGCTCAGGTCATAGTCCCAGGGTCCTGGGACTGAGTCCCGCATGGGGAGGGGCCGTCCCTGCTCAGCGGGAAGCCTGCTTCTCCCTCTCCTACTCCCCCAGCCCTCTCTCGCTGCCTCTCGCCCTCTGTCCTATAAATAAAATCTTTAAAAAATAAAATAAAATAAAATGAAGATACTTCTGCCCTGCCACATAGGATTGCCGTGAGGACAAAGGAGATGCTAGGACAAAGGAGATGATGTCAAGTGCCTTGAATGGTGTGTTGGGGGGGGCGGATGCCCTCTGGAAGTGTGCATCAGGACGAATTGTTGTTAGTCTCAGCCCTGGGGCCTGGGAAAGCAGAGAACCAGGTGGGTTCTATCATTCTGTGCAAAGTAAGGGTTAACGAGATGTGAGCAAAGGACTGGGTTTTAGAACTTCAGGACCGTTTGGTTTGTTTTTCAGAAACGAATGTTTTCTGGCCCCGGGCGAAGTGACAGATGGTTGGCGGGTGATCAGTCCTGCGGCTGCAGGAGCGTCATAGGAGCCCCGGAGCCCTCCCGGTCTGGCTAAGAAGGCCGGGATTCGCTTGTGAAGAGACCTGCTGGGGGCAGAGGAGTGTCCTATAATATTCAGGAAGCAGGATGTGGCAACTTTCCCTCCTTGCGGAACCCCGGTGGCTTTGATCTGGCTTCCCTGGGCATTGAAGGACACGCTCGCCCCACCTGCCCCACATTTTCAGGAAAAGTCTGGTCTGAGGACCCCCACAGAGTGGGAAGCACCTGGCCCACACCAACATCACGAGGCGGACATCGACAGGGTGGTGAGCAACAGAAGTGAGTGTTGTACCGCTTGTCGTGAGGAACGTTGATTTTCGCCCCAGCCCCACGGAGAGAGGGTCAGGCCTGTGGGAAGCCCTTCCCTTCCCCAGACTCATTTGTTGACTGCCTTGTGGACAGGGAAGAGCTTCCAGGCACCCAGTCTGCGCAGCTGACCCAGGCTTCCCACACTCCAGGCCACTTTCTGCGGCCACTCTGCTTACAAGTGGGGAACCAGTCCCCAGGTTTTCCCAACTTGTTGATTCTGGACCCGGGTTGCCTGTCACCGTGAGTTTTGAGGATCGTGGGACTTGTGAAGGTACTACGTGATGAACAGAAGGGACCCTGTTGATGGAAGCTCTGGGTTTATAAAGGACTGAAATCAAAACTCCAATTAGCTTAAGTCCTAAAAACCACACCCAACAAAACAAAGCTCAGAAAGCCCAGGGGTTCCCGATGTGCGCAGGGCTAGATCCAGGCGCTCAGCGTTTTGGGATCTGCTCTCTTCTGTTTGGGCTTAATTCCCAGACAAACTCCACCACTGGGTAGTAAAAATTACTGCAGGAAGCTCCGAGCTTCAACCCTATAGCACAAGGAGAAAGACTCTGCTTGTATCCCAAGGCTGACTCTCATTGGTTCCACTGAGTCATAAGTCCGTTGCTCTTTTTTTTTAAGATTTATTTATTTGGGGCGCCTGGGTGGCTCACTTGGTTGAGCAACTGCCTTCAGCTCGGGTCATGATCCTGGAGTCCCGGGATCGAGTCCCACATCGGGCTCCCAGCTCCATGGGGAGTCTGCTTCTCCCTCTGACCTTCTCCCCTCTCATGGTCTCGCTCACTGTCTCTCTCTCTCTCAAATAAATAAATAAAATCTTAAAAAAAAAGATTTATTTATTTGTCAGAGAGACAGACAGAGACAGGCAGAGAGAGAAGTAGGCTCCCTGCCAAGCAAGGAGCTCGATGCAGGGCTCCATCCAGGACCCTGGGATCACGACCTGAGCCGAAGGCAGACACGTCACCGACAGAGCCACGCAGGCGCTCCAGGATCCTTCCCTTTTTGAGGCGGAATCATATTCCAGTATCTGGGTGGACCACATTTCGTTTATCCATTTACCCATTACTGGAATTCTCACCCTTTATCTGTGAACATGGCTGGGCTGGTATCCATTTGGGTCCCTGCTTTCAGTTCCCCGGTGTGTATCTAGACTTGGAATTGCTGGGCCACAGGGTTGTTCTCTTGGGAGATCTGCCAAACTGTCTTTCACATCCCCACCTGTGTGTCTTTTTGCCTACGGAGAGACTAAAAACTGGCGGGACAAGGGGCGCCCGGTTGGCTCAGTTGGAGGAGCGCACGACTCTTGATCTTGGGCCGATGTGTCTGAGCCCCACATTGGGTGTAAAGCTAACTTAAAAAAAATAGGCAGATTCTGGGGTGCCTGGGTGGCTCAGTGGGTTAAGCCTCTGCCTTCGGATCAGGTCATGATCCCAGGGTCCTGGGATCGAGCCCAGCATGGGGCTCTCTGCTCAGCAGGATACCTGCTTCCCCCCCCATCTCTGTCTGCCTCTCTGCCTACTTGTGATCTGTCTGTCAAATAAATAAATAAGATCTTAAAAAATATAGGTAGAGGGGCGCCTGGGTGGCTCAGTGGGTTAAAGCCTCTGCCTTTGGCTTGGGTCATGATCTCAGGGTCCTGGGATCGAGCCCCGCATCAGGCTCTCTGCTCAGCGGGGAGCCTGCTTCCCCCTCTCTCTCTGCCTCCCTCTCTGCCTACTTGTGATCTCTGTCTGTCAAAATATATAAATAAAATATTTAAAAAAATAGGTAGAAAAATACATTGAGGAGGATCCTTTTTTTTTTTTAACATGCAGAAAATCCAGTCTTTGCTTCTAACAACATGCCAGCCAAACACCAACGTGGAATGGGGAAAAAAAAAAAATCAGCAAAACAGGCGCTCTGGTCCGGTGCGAGTGGCACATCCAGGGCTGAAGAGAACGGAAGCCACGTGACTCTCACTTCTTCATTTGGGAGACAAAGGAAGGTGACCAGCCGGAGCGAACGTGTTTCCCGGAATGCTGTTTCCCACGAATAAACCGGGACAGGGGGACGCTCTGCAGACGGAGGGAATCGGCGGGGTTCGATTCTCCGGGCCCTGCGGGGTTGAGCCTGGAACGCAGGCTGGGGCAGCAGGAACCGGCGGAGGAGGGGGCTCCGCTGCAGCCGCCCCTCCAAGAGCAGACACCTGACAGATCTAGGGGGTGCCGTGGTTCCTGCAGGAAGGAAACAGGGAGACGGAGGAAACCTGAAATGCCCCCCTCGGGGCGCCTCGAGATCCGAATTTTTCTCCTGCTCAGTAACGGGGGCAAACCGGGGTCTCCCAACTTGTGCGCCGCGGACATCGGGCTTGGTTGTGCCGCGGGCACTCCGGGGTGTCGAGTGACATCGCCGGGCTCAGGCGCCGCGTGCGCATCCCCCCCCCCACCCCCTCCCCACCCCCACAGAGGCCCCCAGACGTCGCCCAACGTAGAGAACCGCTGGGTTCAATGTTTCGCCAGAACGAATACGGGGAGCTGCTCCTAAAATTAGCACGTTTTGGCGAAAAGAGCCAAGTGGCCCCCTTCGCCGGCTGTACAGATGGGAAAACCGAGGCCAAGAATCTCCCAATCCTAGACCACTATGAGAAACTGACCCCCCAGGTCTCTGACGACAGCCCTTCTGAAGCTACGCGGCAGCAGCAAACTGGGTGTCGTGTCCGCCTCTGCCTCAGTCTCCCTAGTCCGATTTCCCCAACGGCCCCGGCGGTCCCCTTTTCCCGTCCGCCCAGAGCGGTCTCGAACCCTAAACTCAGCTCTCCCCGCGCTCCCGCGTGTCTCGGGAGCGGCGCTCGGGAGGTGGGCGGCGCTCCGCGGCCCGGCGCGCAGCCTTGTGGGGATTGTAGTCCCGGCGCCCGCCCCTGTGCCGCGCCGACCCCGCCCCTGGAACTACGCTCCCGTCGTGCCCCGCGGCGCGGGCGGAGGCGGGGCAGGCGGTCGGTTGCTAAGCCTTGGGAGGCGCTGTGCTCGCGTGCGGTTCTTCAGGTAAGCGCGGGGTCCCGGGGTCTCGGCTCTCGCGGCCCGGGCTCCCACGGACGGCGAGCCGGGGTGGTGACGGGCGCGGGGGGTAGCGTATCTCGGCTGGCGGGGGACGCCGGCCGTGCCCGGCGCCAAGAGGCTCCCGGAGGCACCGCGCCGGCGCCTGTGCGCGTGCGCGTGGGGCGGCCCGGCGGCGGGCCGCTGCTCCCCCGCCGTCGACCTTGTGCGCGTGCGCGCGCCCCTGCGGGCGCGGGGGTGGAGACCCCGTACGCCCGGCTGCTCCGTTCGACCCCTCACTCTCCCCGCGCGCGTGCCTGGGGTCGTCGCGGCCAGCCCCCTGCCTCCGGGTCCCGCGTGTGCTGGCGTCCCGCCCCTGCAGGCCTCTCCACGTTGTAAACGGGCGCTGCCCTGACGCTTACCGACAGCGTGAGTGGTCCGGGGCTTCTGGCCTGGCCCGGGCTGGGGGGCTTTCCTCCTGCTCCCCGCGCGCCCGACCTCCTCGGACCTTCGTGCACTGAAGGGCGTGGGCCGCGCAGGACGCCCCGCCGTCGGAGAACTCCGTATCAGCGTGGGGGAGCTCGTTAGGGTGCAGATGGCAGCTCCCTGCCTCCCCGCTGGGCCAGGAGCCGCCCGGGTTCCGCCCTCGGAACCAGCACCGAACCAGCACCTCGCGCGCTGAGGGCGGGCCTGGGACTCCAGCCCTGGCTGTCCTGTTCAGGATTGCCTGCCTTCCAGGGCCTGCTGCGGGTCACTGCCTCCGAGGAGCCCTCCTTGACTCTGCCCACCCACCCCAGGGCATCACTGGCCCTGGGCCAGTGTGGGGTCTCGAGTGGGTTTCGTCCCTTTCTGCCTCAGACAGCCTTGCGTGATGGTGTTGCACTCCCATTTTTCAGAGGGGGACGTTGAGGCTGGGGCTTAGGCCGGGTGCCCTGGGGTTCACACTGAGCTTTTGGCCTGCCTTCCTAATCCAGTGGGGAGACGGGGCCTTGAGCCTGAGTTTATTGGGTGTTGCCTGCGGGGCGACTCCACTGCCTGAATCACTGCCATTTCCTGATTCCCTTCCAGTGCCAGAGCCTTCGGGACTTCCAGGGCACCACTTCTGTGGTGGGGCGACACGGGGGGGGGGGCGGATAGTCCTAAGCTGTCGGACACTTGTATTAGGGTCCTGTGTCCCTGGCCCACCTGTGGGGGCTCCCATATGCAGTTGAGGCTCCCTCCTCCTGGTCCGGGACTTAGTGCCTGAGGCAGAGACACTGGGACCCTGCGTCGTCGGTTCTGAGCCGGCTGTGGCTGACCCTGGACGGGCCAGGGATGGCACTGAGCTGGGCGAGCATAGCAAATGGTGTGGGGGGTGTGTGTGGAGGCGGCTGGGTGCCTGGAGCCGGGCCCTGATCTCAAGCTTCAGGGATGAGAGAGGAGCCGGGTGCCCCAGAGGCCTCCAGTCCGCTGCACATCCCGGCCGGCTAAAACAACCCTGGTGCGCGGACCCTGTTGGCCGCTGGACTGGCACTGCCCTCTGGACCTTGGGCTTGGGAGCTCAGGCGGGGACATCGCCTCCAGAAGCTGTTTACTCCTTCTCTGTGGAATGGGCTCCGGAGGCCGTCCAAGAGCTGGTCGGATCCCAACTCTGCCTTCTCTGCCTGGCGGCTCCAGGAAGTCCTTCCAGCTCACAGAGCCTCATCTTGTCTTGTAGAAAGGGGACAGTCCCCAAGCTCCCTTCTGGGTCACTGGGAGGACACGTGGTGGCTACAGTACCAGCAGCTGTCATCCGAGGCATAGGGCCTTGTTTGGAGTCTGCTGACTTGGCAACTGCCCGGTGCCCTCATCCCCCCCTCCTGCTTTTTTTAGTGGCTTCACCGAGGGGCAGTTCACCCCTTTAAAATGGACAGGTCTGTGGTTTTTAGGACATTTGTGGGGTTGTGGAACCGTCATCACAGTCTTGTTCCTGAACACTCCACCCACCCCCAAAAAAGCCCCGTCCCCATTCGTAGTCATTTCTTATCCTCCCACCCCCGGCCCCCATGAGCCCCCTTCCTGTCCGTGGAGGAGCCTGGTCTGGACGTGTCACACGCGTGGACTCAGCCCGTGTGGCCTTCTGTGTCTGGTTTCCTCCCTGAGTGTTGTGGGCTCGCGGTCTGTCCCCAGGGTGCATGGGGACACCTCACACCTGCCGGCGGTCGGGGGATTCTCCCGTGCGTGGGGGACCCACTGTGTGTGTCCATTTATCCATCGAAGGACGCTTGGGCCATGTCCACGTTCCAGGTGCCGTGAAGGCTCTGCTGAGAGCACACATGTGCTCTTCTTGGTGAACGTTGTGTTCTCGGAGCTCCAGGCGCGTGGCTGGGTGTGGAGTGGAGCAGCCGCGGGTCAGACAGAGACGCTGGGGCTTTACGCATCCTGCCTAGGGGCTGGCACCCCGGCCGGCAGTGTCCCGGAGCAGGCTTCTTTACTTGTCGCCTGTTCTGTTTTCATCAGAGTTGTACTCTCGGAGGGGCAGGTGGGGCGCGTATTTTGCCGTGGAGACCTGGAGCTTTCGGGGTCCATGCGGGCTGTGGGGTCCTGGGCGTGGCGTGTGCTGGGGGCAGATTCAGAGTCGGCACCGTGGGCCCTGCTGTGGGTCCTGCCTGGCACGGTACCGTGAGTGTGGGAGGCCCTCCACGCCTTCCAGTCCTCGTGGCTGCGGCCTGCACCCGGGCTCTGCACGCTGGCCAGACGTGTATCGTGAGCTCAGGACATAGCCTGCAGGGTGAGGCCGTCCCCTGCCTCCCAGCGGGTCTGGCTAGTGAACACCCGCGTTGGGGCGGCCGGGGAGTGGGCTGGAGGCATGTCATGAGACGTGGAAGCCCACGGTTGTCAGAGGTGATTCCAGTGCTTCCCTGTCCACAGGGAGGGAGGCAGGAGGGGGCCGGTCTGCCCCGGATGCCAGCCAGCTGTGTGGTGTGGGCGTGTGGGGGCAGCAAGGATCCCCCATGGTCGCGTCGAGATGACCAGGAATTGGGGTCTGACGTTATCCGTGGCGGTACCGACCGACAGGGGCACGATGCGAGGTACGGATGTGATGTTACATGTTCTAGAAGCCACCGTTCCCAAAGCGCAGAGAGGCAGGTGAAACAAGTGCTGTCACCTGGCAGACGGTCGGCGTGAAGACGAGTCCTGAGACCGTCCGTGTTCTTTTTCTCACTGGGTGAGACCTGGCTTGCATGTCCACAGTGGCCCGTGTCCCAGGGAGACAGAACGTCAGTGCTGGGCTGAGTTCTGCAGACCAGGACTTGGCGGGATGTGAGCACGAGCACGGCCACCGGTGCACTCCGTGTGCGCGGACTCGGACGAGCCTTCGGATTCCGCACGCTCCCGGGACCTGGGACGGACTTCTGCGCTCTGCCGGGGCCTCTGCAGCTGACGGATGAATGTCTGCTCCGATCTCTGTCTCCCACAGTCAGAGCCGTGCCGAGGATGGAGGCAGCCCCGGGCCTCGGGGAGCAGCGCGTGGACGGCAACACCGGGAGCCGGGAGCCGGAGCCTGAGCCCATGCCGTGGCAAGCCCTCCCGGTCCTGTCCGAGCAGCAGTCCAGGGACGTGGAGCTGGTACTGGCCTACGCCGCGCCCATCCTGGACAAGCGTCAGACGTCGCGGCTTCTCAAGGAGGTGTCGGCCGTGCACCCGCTGCCCGCGCAGCCTCACCTGAAGAGGGTGCGGCCCAGCCGCAGTGCCGGCCCGCATGCGCTCGAGATGCTGCTGTGCCTGGCAGGGCCGGCCGCAGGGGCCAGGTCGCTCACCGAGCTCCTCCCGCAGCCGGCCGTGGACCCTCATGGCCTGGGACAGCCCTTTCTGGTGCCCGTGCCGGCCCGGCCACCCCTGACCAGAGGCCAGTTCGAGGAGGCGCGTGCCTACTGGCCCACGTCCTTCCACGAGGATAGGCAGGTGACTCGCGCCTTGGCCGGGCGGCTGTTCTCGGTGCAGGAGCGCACGGCGATGCAGGCCCACATGGAGCGGGCCGTGTGGGCAGCGCGCCAGGCAGCCGCCAGGGGCCTCAGGGCGGTGGGAGCCGTGGTGGTGGACCCGTCCTCTGGCCGCGTGCTGGCCACGGGCCACGACTGCAGCAGTAGAGCCCGCCCCCTGCTGCACGCCACCATGGTGTGTATTGATCTGGTGGCCCAGGGCCAGGGCCGTGGCGCCTATGACCTTGGCCCCTTCCCTGCCTGCTCCTTCGCCCCGGCCGGCGCCCCCCAGGGTGTTCGTGTGGGCTCTGTGCGCAAGCTGGACGAGGATGGGGACGCGTGCACGGACAGCCTCCCCTATGTGTGCACAGGCTATGACCTGTACGTCACCCGGGAGCCCTGTGCCATGTGCGCCATGGCCCTGGTGCACTCGCGTGTGCAGCGCGTCTTCTACGGCGCACCCTCGTCCGACGGCGCCCTGGGCACCCGCTTCCGCATCCACGCCCGGCCCGACCTCAACCACCGCTTCCAGGTGTTCCGTGGGGTCCTGGAGGCCCAGTGCCGCCAGCTGGACCCTGGCTCCTAGGCACCGACAACTCGGCTCCCTCGGACTGCCAGGCCTCCACCTCTCTCGCTGCCCCGCTGGCGTGTGGGGACACGTTTCTGCCCCAACGGAGCTTTCCCCGGACTTGAGCTTCGTGTGGTCCAGCCTGGGCGGGGGGCTGGGCCCTCGGACTTCCTTCGCCAGCCACCTCTTGCCCCAAGCCTGAGAGTCTGCTGGGACAGGATCCCCTTTGTCCTGGGTGTCTGGAAACGGCTCTGCTTGTGAAAATAAATAGCCCCAAACCAGGTTGGTGTCTGTTGACAGAGGCAGGGGACCGTGGTAGGCAAGGGTCCTTGGATCAGGTGACCACTTTTGTCAAGATTTGGGGTTTATACACGGGAAGGGGAGCTTCTGGGCCATGTGGGGGACGCGCGCTGGCCCAGGGTGGCCTGTGTCCTGGTTCTGGAAGGGTGGGGCTGGCCGCGGGGTGTTTACACAGGGTGGGGGTGGCCTGCTAGCCTGCGCTCCGCTCCCTGAAAGGCTTCTTCTGGTCGTCGTCCCGTTTCCCGTTCTTCAGGTGGGGCCAGCTGGGGGTCTGCCCCAGAGCAGTTAGCAGGAGAACCAACGTGGGTTCGTCCAGCACGTGCGGATTTGGGATCCCTGTGGGGCCTAGTTCATCCCTGCTCTGAGCTTCCCCTGGAGCCCTGGGGCTCTGCTCCCAGCCCCCACCAGCCCACAGGCACAGGGCAGGGGAGGGGGTCTGCCCGCAGGCCAGTGCCATGGATGGGCAGTGCGGTGGGGCTGTGAGCCCACCCGGCATGTGGGCACAGAGGGCTGTGCTGGGCCAGACCAGAGGGTATCCTGGGGGTGGGGGGTGTGGACTCTGGGAGCTCAGTGTCATTGGAACCTTGTCACCTAGAATGTGCATCTGAAAGCTGTCTGTAGGTTCCCAGTGTTGGGGACGGTGAGGCCCGGGTGGGCGCTGGGCATGGCCCAGCTTCTGTCCTGGTGATGGCATTGCCCACCCGCAGGGCCCTCAGGGGACTGGCAAAGTCCCCACAGGTGTACGTGTTGGTGGCAGCCTGCTCCACAGGGCTCCTCCGTGATGCCGGCTCCCCTGGTTCTGTGTAGGAAGGGTTGCCAGTGGCCAGCTGTGTCCCCAGCTGCCTCACTTGGGTCACTGCGAGGCCCTTAGCTCCGTCAGGCTTGCAGGGGCAAGGGTGCAGACCAGAGAGGCCGTGTGACTCGTGTGATGTCACACAGCACTGAGCGTGGACCCAGTTCTCAGCGGCGCTGAGGAGGTGCTCGGAGCTGTTCATGGATAAAGAGGGAGCTTGGGGGGTGGGGGGGACAAGGAGGTGGGGTGGGTCCACGGGGTCCCAGGAACATGTTGGTTCTGGCTGGGTGTGTGTTGGGGCAGCAGGCCGACCCCCATTCTGCCAGCACGGATGCTGCCTGGGAGGCTCTGCAGGTGGCACGTGGGGCCGGCCTGACCGGTTTGGGGTGCCCTTTGGGACCAGAGCACGGATCCCCCCTGGGCGGCCTGGAGCTGAGGCCTCTAGCTGCGGTTGCCGCTGAGCGTGCAGCTGGGGTCGGGGTCCCCCAGCGGCCTTGAGGACCTCCTGACTGTGGCTGTCTCCCCTCCAGGTGGCCGTAGGCTTGTGCCCCGCCCAGTTGTCCCATCGGAAATGTCTGGTGAGTCTCGCCCAGAGGTCCTGCGGTGGGGGATCCTGTGGGAGGGGTCCCCTAGTGTCCACACCCACGCTGACAACCCCTGGGGGGGCACACGCCACTCTCCTCCTCCTGTGGAGGGTGTTGGGGTCAGTTCCTCGCTCTGAGCCAGACGGGAGGGCGATGCCAGTTTCTGTGGGAGTTGCCTCAGGCAACTCCCACAGAAACTGGCTCTCTGCCCTGGGGCCCATTTGGTCGTGGACGTCCACGTGAGGTGTGAGGTTTGGGCGTCTGGGTTCATGCCTCCGTGTGTCACTCTCACTCTGTCACAGGCATGTCCACCTCGTCCCTCTCAGAAGGGGGGGTGGAAGGTGCAGGTAAAGTGAGGGGGGCCCTGGGGCCCCGAGGCCACGGTGAGGTGCCCAGAGTGCACACCGTCCACCACGTTCACCCCCGCCCTGTGTGTGTGTAGTTAGTTTCAGCATCGCCCTCGTCCTCGGGTGGAGGGCGGGGTGGGCCGCTGGGTGCTTGAGGTCATCCGGCTGCTGGTGGCACTGGGATTTGAGCCCAGGCTCCTGAGGTCTGAGTCTACACAGAACGTGTCCCAGGGCTTCTTATTTGCCAAGAAAATAGGGTTTCAAAGGGATGTGATTTGGTGGGGGTTTCCACCTCTGGGTCGCAGCCTGACCACAGGAAGCGTCACGCTGTCCTTGCTGTGGGTGGCAGGAGGGATGGGGGTCAGACATCCAGGAAGGAGAGAGGTGCTGGTGGCCGAGGGAGCAGCGGGGCGGGGGGCCGGGTTGGGTCCTTGTTGGGGCCTTGGACAGGAACCGTGAAGGGTGGTGACCAGGGACTGTGGCATGGAAGCTGTGAGCCCGTGCTGGGGGCCCTTCTCCCACCTGTGATCACAGAGGCTGAGAGCAAGCACGTTCAGAGCGGGATCAGCTCCCCTCTCTGCTCAGGCTTGGGGCCCCGTGGCTTCCTGCCTCCTGCGGTCATGCCTCAGGGCCCTCTGCGGCCAGTAAGGTGCAGTTCGCCTCCGCCTGTCCACCCCTCCCTGGTCCCTGGGCTCCCCGCTGCCTCTCCATCAGCTCACACTGACGTCCTCCCCTAGAGCCCATGGCTGCTCCTTTTCATTTCCTGGAGTCTCTGTTTAAGTACCAACTTTTTTTTTCTTTTTAAGATTTTAATTGTTACAGCACACAAGCAGGAGAGAGGGGCAGAGAGGGAGAAGCAGGCTTCTCCGAGTGAGGCTCGATCCCAGGATGCAGGATCATGACCGGAGCTGAGGGCAGACACTCAGCAGGCCGCGCTAACCTGGGGCTCTTTATGGGTGAGCTCCGTGTCTGGCATAGAGCACAGTGCAGGGTTCGAACTCACCACCGCAAGATCGAGAGCCGAGATTAAGAGTCCGGTGCTCGGCGGGCTGAGCCAGCCAGGCACCCTGGCCCTCCTGGTGGAGCACAGCTAACCAACCACCTCCCACAGCATTTTCTGGCGCGCCCCTCTTGCTCAGTCACTGTGATTGTTGTCGGTGTCCCCCGGCCAGGAGGGCAGCCCCCCTCTGGCTTCGGTTCATGGCCTGGCCCTCTGAGGTGCTCAGGAGGTGTCCGGCCACAGCGGTGACGTCTTCCAAAGGCTGAGGGTGGCACGGACCATGCTGCGCTCAGGCTAAACCCTGTCCCCGGAAGACACGTCCAGTCTTCATCCCGTACCTGTGAAGCAGGGTCGTGTTCGGAAGCAGACCTGCTGTGGGTGTCGTTAGTGGAGAGGGGGGTCACACTAGAATAGGGTAGCCATGATGCGGTGGCGGGAGTTCCCATAAGGACACACAGGGGAGATGGCCATGTGTCACTGACGCAGGCCATGTGGCCACACGCCAAGGGTCGCCTGCAGCCCCAGGAGCTGGGAGAGACAAGAGGGACCCTCCCCTGGAGCCCCTGGGGTGGCGCGGCCCCGCCACAGCCTGAGCTCAGACTTCTGGGCTCCAGGACCCAAAGAGGCTAAAGTGCTGTGGTTGGAACCTGTGGCTGGTGGCATGTGTCCAAGCTGCCCTAGGAAGCGCGTGCATTCGGAGTGCCAGAACCTTCCGTGGAGGCGGGTGCTGGCAGTGTTGGGCTCTGTGCATCCGCGCTTCCCTCCAGCTGCTCTTCTGGATCGCCACAGCCAAGGGGGTTGAACCACGCTCACCGGGGCACCTGGCGGCTCCGTCGGTGAGGCGGCTGCCTTCAGCTCAGGTCATGATCCGGGGGTCCTGGGATCGAGCCCCGCATCGGGCTCCCTGCTCACCGGGGAGTCTGCTTCCCCCTCTGCCGCTCCCCCTCTTCTTCTCTCAAATAAAATAAAATCTTAGGAAAAAAAAATAAACCACATTTATCATCTCATGTTGTGAAGTCAGGAGTCCTAAAACCCCGGCAGGGGCAGGGCTCGTCCCCTGGGGGCCGCAGAGAGACCCGGCTCCCGCCCTTTCCTGGCCCGTGCCCCCCCAACCTCCCCGCCAGCAGCGCGGGGTCTGCCCGTCTCCGGGACCCCCGCCCTCTGCCTCCCTCTCATGAGGACCTGGTGAGGACGCTGGGCTCCCCAGGAACCCAGGGTCACCCCCAGCTCGCGGCCCTGACGAGGTCCCCTGTACTGCGGGAGGAGACACGTCTGCAGGTTGACAGGGATGGGGACGCGTTTGGGGCCGTCACTGAGGCCCCCCCGCCTGGTATCGTTCCTTGGTGTTTTGTGTCCCTGCAGAAAAGGAGAACAACTTCCCACCGCTGCCCCGGTTTATCCCCCTGAAGCCCTGTTTCTACCAGAACTTCTCGGACGAGATCCCCATCGAGCACCAGCTCCTGGTGAAGAGGATCTACCGGCTGTGGCTGTGTGAGCGGGCGGGGCGGGGCGGGGCGGGACGGCTGTGGCTGCGTGAGCCTGCGGGGCGGGGGCGGGGCCTCCCTGCACCCCTCAGACCCGGCCCTGGGACGGCCCCACCATGAAGTTAGTCCCATCCTCAGGCGCGGGAGCCCGGATTTTGGGCTGAACCTTGCGTTTCTGACAGTGATGTGTTCTGAGCCCTCGTCTGGCTCTGTGACGCCTGTGCTGACCAGAGCCCGGCCCTGCTTTCCCAGGGGGAGGGAGGCGTCCAGGCCCGCTGCCCTGGAGCCCACTCACCCTCGGCAACCCCCCCCCAGTCTATTGTGCCACGCTGGCCGTGAACCTCGTCGCCTGCCTGGCCTGGTGGATCGCAGGCGGCTCTGGAGCCAACTTCGGCCTGGCCTTGCTGTGGCTGCTGCTCTTCTCTCCCTGCGGCTACGTGTGCTGGTTCCGGCCCGCCTACAAGGCCTTCCGGTGAGTGCGGCGGCGAGGCCGGCGCAGGGGCTGGGACGCCCGACC